TTTTTTTTTTTTTTTTTTTTTTTTTTTTTTTTTTTTTTTTTTTTTTTTTTTTTTTTTTTTTTTTTTTTTTATAGTTTTAAGAACATAAATAAAAAAAAAAATATAGATAATAAAAAGTAGAGAATCTATTTATAGATTTAATTCTTAAAAACAATAAAAACAAAATACTAAATGAAAATTCCCCACCTACCCGCTATTGATCATCCGCCTAGGTAAGCTATAGTCTCACCAACTAGCTAATCAGACGCGAGCCCCTCCTCGGGTGGATTCCTCCTTTTGCTCCTCAGCGTACGGGGTATTAGCAGTTGTTTCTAGCTATTTCCCCTCCCAAAGGCAGGTTCTTACGCGTTACTCATCCGTCCGCCACTGGAAACACCACTTCCCGTCCGACTTGCATATACTAAATATGCCGCCAGCGTTCATCCTGAGCCAGGATCGAACTCTCCATGAGATTCATAGTTGCATTACTTATAGCTTCCTTGTTCGTAGACAAAGNTTTTTTTTTTTTTTTTTTTTTTTTTTTTTTTTTTTTTTTTTTTTTTTGAAATAAGGCAAAATTATAGATGGGAGTAATATTTATAGGTTTATTTTTATTATAAAAAAAAAAAAGAAAAATTAAATGATTATTACTAAGAAAGAAATTGATATGAAATAATATGTATATAATTGATAGTTTATTAGTGAAGTACGAAATTATTACAAGAATAACACAATTTATTTTATTCATGAATTAATACTTCAGGGCATGAAAATTAGAATATTGAATATATGGGAGAATTAAGTAATATTTAATAGTTGGAAAATAAGTAACAAAATTTAATCTTACAATATAAAAAAGGTTAATAAATAAATTTGGAGTGGAGTACAAATCTAATAATTCGTCTACCCAACTGCTCGATCCAAATCATATAAAAATTCAGATCAGTTTGCTATTGGTCAACCTGGCCAATCCGAAAACAAGCCTACAATCCACTCAACCATACTTATAAGATTATTATCATATTTAAGAATATTTAACATTTGTAACCGATGTTAATGATGCATAGTAACTTATAAATATTTGATATTTGATGTCTATAAAATTTTAATTATTAACGTAATATTTATCGTGAATAATTATGATTTTTTAAATAATTAAAAATAATAATTCGACAACTCAACCGAACTAAAAAATAATATGTATCGTGAATAAGTATGATTTTTTAAATAATTAAAAAATAACTCGACAACTCAACCGAACTAAAAAAAATAATAAGTTTTGTTAGGTTGGGTTGTGAACTTTATTACGGTTAATAAGAGTCGCTCTCCCATTTTCTTAACCAGAAATGGGAAATGGTTTGGGAGAGGAAAGATTCTTTTTTAGGGTACCCCGAGAACATATCCAGTGGAGACAGGGTGGGACTTGTTACTTAGAGGATTAGAGCACGTGGCTACGAACCACGATATCCGGGGTTTGAATCCCTCCTCACCTACAACCAGCCAAAAAGGAAGGACTTTTTCCTTTGGTGGTTGGAAAATCACGATCGAGATAGCGGGCTCAAAATTATGGAACTGGGTCTGGGTCTTTTGTCGAGATAGAATGACTATATTTAATTTTTAATAATTATAACTAATTACCTATTATTTATTTGTAGTTAATTAAATATTTGTGGGGATTACTTTTTGTTTGTTTAATGTTTCATAATTATAATTATTTTGGAATACATAATTATAATTTTTTTGAAATATTACCGTTCAACCAATGATCGGATTGGTATTGAGCTAGTGAAGAACATACGGGAGACGGAAAAAGTGCAGCGTTTGTGGAGCTTCCACTTTCCTTTCCACTCCGGTACTACCATTGAGCTAGGCGTGAGGTCAATTAGGGATTTATAATCTGAGTGAGAGAGTTTGGCTGGTTCATAGTAGGTCCATCTTGTGGGAGGACGCGGATCATGTGAGTAGTCAGCAGAGCTGGCACGCACATGGGGTAGCGTCCCCGACCTTGGACGACTTCATGGCTTGTGAGATAAGTTTGCCAGTTATCTCTTATGGATGACGAGCAGACTAAGATTTATCCTGTTGTTTCCACCTAATAAGGAGAGTGTTCCTTGAGATAGTGTCTCAACTTAGACACTTGTCATTGTTGCGTAGGCTAACTAGCTACCCAAGTCCGTGCACAACAAGAACGATATATCTAGATGATCTAGAGATAGCTCGTGGTCTCCTACTAGGTCAAGAATGCAATAGACGTTGCTTACAAGGTATATACTAATTCCTTTCTACATTTTCTTTTTTCGATGCATGACGGAGTTGGTCGAGAGCTCAATAGTCACAGAAGAATGTCAACAAGACGTTTGTCTGGTCCACGTATTATGTAGTCGTCATTTCAGTACATATTTTGTATTTCATATCGCATTCCCTCTTTAAACGTACATAACATACATCTAAACATGTCCTCAATTTCACTTTGGTACTGCAAACAACTATTTTGTGATCCGTTTTCTTTCTCTTCTCGTTTGTTCATTGTGCATCGCATAGCCTATTTAGTTGCATAATCTTGCATCCCAAAATTAAGAAAAACATATTTTTATAGAAAAGTTAGAATAATAGAATTAGTCAAACTTAGGTATCTCCCAACAATTGATCGTAATATCTCTATTATTGAGATATTTTGGAATTATTACATTATTATATTATTTTTTTAACCAATACATCATATGTTCACTACTTTTGACTTTCAAACCAATAATAATAATAAACTAATTTCTTTTCTTTATGTATATTTTAAATAATAATAGAACTAGTTCGTATGAATTGGCTTGAATATATCTCATGTTCGACTTTTTTGTATTAGTTTAGTCTTCGATGTTTTTTGAAATTTGGATTTGTCTTTGTGATATCCCATATTAGTTAGGGAGGAGAACTAAACACCCTTTATAAAGATGTGAAAACCTTTCCATAACAAACGCGTTTTAAAGCCTTGATGGAAACCCCAAAAATGACAATAGTTGTTTAACGTTTGAGTCGTTGCAAATGGTATCAGAGTCAGACGCTAGACTATGTGCCAGCGAGGAGGCTGCTCTCCTAAGGTGTAGACACAAGGCGGTGTGCCAGTAAGAATGCTGGGCCCCAAAGGGGGATGTATTTGGTGGGGTCCCACATCGATTAGAGAAAGAAACGAGTGCCAATGAGAACACTAGGCCCTGAAAAGGGGTGGATTGTGATATCCCACGTTAGATGGGGAGGAGAACTAAACACCTTTTATAAGGGTGTGAAAACTTTTCCTTAGAATACGCGTTTTAAAGCTTTGAGGGGAAGCCCAAAAGAGAGCTCAAACAGGACAATATTGATTAGCGGTGTGTCTGGATCGTATATTCTTCTTAGTCCAATTTTACCTATAACATTAGCCCTCAGCACCTAATTGAGGTCCGAATCTTAGGACGTTGTCTACTTGGCCTTTCCCGGTTATATACCTTAGGCTTAAATGCTCTAAGGTAGTCCTATCAAACCTCATAGGCATTGGATTATTGTTAGGATTGCTCATCAAACCGTGTAAGGACATCAATATGTTGCTAAAACATTTGCAAACAAACTTTAAAACCTGAAGATTGAAGCTTCTTCCTCACCCTTTACATTCTTACAGCTGCTTGTAGCAGCCATAAGCAATGGCAACAGACATAGTAGCACAGATAACAGCAGCAACAGCATACGTATCTTCACGCTCCCAGCTCTCGAACCATATCGGCATTGAGCCAACCTTACAGAAGGACACATCACCACTGATGCTTCCTGAAGTTGGTTTTCTGTTGCTCTTTGCAGTAACAACAAATATAGGAATGTCGTTTGTATCTGAATCGATTACTGTTCCTGATAGTTCGGGGTTCTGACAACAAGAGGAGTAACCCTCTTTGTCTCCCCGACAGCAGGCTGCAACCTCGACACGAGAACTATAGAGATTGAAGTTTGGATCGTTGGTCTCAATTTGTGCCGACTCTTCCTTGCTTTTATGGCCATTCGTCTCACTGATTAGACTAAGTCTCCGTTGTTGGCTCAGCTTCTGTTCTTCCTCTGACAAACCCATCTGACCCCTAAGTGTTCATATGCAATATAGGATTAAAAATGAATGTTCAACAATAATTTTAGATTAAATAACGTTTTAGTTTGTACGACACTAGCTCAAAACCCATCTTAGTAACGTTCTTATGAACGTAAATGGTAGTTGTAACAGCCTTAGTCCACTGCTAGTAGATATTGTC